GGTACGGGCATGAACGGTGCTTGCATCCCCGTTGATGGGGCTTCGAGCTGAGCGGGCAGTCGGGACTCCGGAGGGTTCGTGACAGGTTGCTGGATCTCGGGGTTCTGTACGCGCGAGTCCGATCGCGATCTTCCTCGGTTTGGACCAGCAGCAGCAGGAGCTGCGGCGAGGGTCTGGGCCGCCTTGGGTGCCTTGGGCTCCTTGTCTTTGGCACGACGCCTATTTTTCCTGCCATCGACCTTCTCTGTCCCATCACTATTCTTCCCTGACCGACGCCCGGGGGTCCCGGCAGGTGTTGCGTTATCAGAGTCGGTCGGCGGTCGCTCAAAGTCGAAGGTCGGGGCCGCTGCACGCCTGGGTCGTCTTGCACGCTCACCGTTCTCGCCGCCTTCTTGATTGTCTTCGGTCTCAGCATCTTTGTTGCCGAGTTCTGAGACAAGGGCGCTCGAACGAGTCTTGGCTCTGCCTCCGGCCTTCTTCCTCTTCTTCGGTTGCTTCTTGTATCTCTCCTTCAGGTTCAGGTGCTTCTTCATCAAGTAGTAGTACAGGATGCAGGTCTTGAAGTCACGCCCCTCGACGCCATCCGCAATAACGCCCCACTGTTTAGGCTTATCGAGATAGCCTCGTTCGAATTGCTCGTTCTCTTCTGCGGTGAAGTTGTTGATGGGGGGAAGAATGTTCCAGGTCGGCACGAGCTGGTCAATCGTCATGAGGCCAGAGCTGTCCACAAAGTCCTCATTGTTCCGGTCCTCGTCCGTCCAGTACATGTCAGGAGGTATCGCCTCCTTCTCGTTACGGAAACGTTGTTTTTGGGCAATGGCCTCGCGTTCCTTGCGCTCTTCCTCTGCCTTGACTGATTCCTGAATTGCCCTTTCAACGTCGAGCTCCGTAGCGAAACGCCTTCCGGATGCCCGACCTTCAGGCTTCGTTGGTTCTGGCACGATAGGGATGTTGCTGGTCGTTTCCGGCGGCGGGATATTGCTGACGAATTTTTCTCTGCTCTTCGTGGCAACCAGGTCGTCAGATAACGTGTAGTTGAGGTAGTCCATGTACCTTTCACCATACGCCTTCCGTGCAGCGTCTTGTTCTGATAGCTTCAGTAGCGATACTTTGTCAAGCTCCTCGGCAATGAAGGCGTCGACTGTTGAATCGGACTGCAAAGACTGGAGGAAGTCTTTGTCTCGGTTCCAAGCCAGACATTCGAAGTTGGGAAGACTTTCAATGGGCGGGGTCTCGAGGCGACGTTGAGCGTCGAGATCCATCGGATCCAGCTCGTCCGACTCGGTGGAATTGTCATCGTCCTCGTCGTCTACTTGAGAAGGCGTGCTTGGCACGCCCTTCTCTCGTTCGATCGTTTCGATGGGCGCATTGGGAAGAGGAACTGCCTTGGGCTGCCCGGGCTGCTTCTGGGGTGGTTCGGAGCTGACTTCCATCGTTTCTACGGTTTCTTGAACAGCATCCTTCACTGGAGCATCTGGTTCTAAAGACGCTTCCAATGCTTCTTTTGATGGCGCCAAGACGGTAGGCCGGGCTTCATCGATGTCCATTTCCTCCGTCTTGGCCTGTGGCTCCACTGCAGTCTCGGACGATGCTGCTGTCTCGACGCGTTTTCCCGGCACGGCATCATCGACAAGTGATGCTCTGCGAGGCAAGACGCTGTGAAGGACCGGTCGTGGGTCCGTCTCTTCGGTCGTGGCAGCGGCCTGGGCTTTCTCCTCTTTGGGCGGAGTCAAAGCCTCTTGTGGAGGCTGACCTAGCATCTCAACGAGACCTTCTGGCTCAGCGACAAGCTTCATCATCGCTTCGTGGGAGACTTTGGCAAAGCGAGCAACAACATGGTCTGGTACGTCGTCTGCAAGTCCTTCTAGGCGTCGTAATTCAGCTTCTTCTTTGGCAATTTCCGTCGCAAAGTACTCTCCAAAGTCTTCATCGTCATCCGACTCTGACGGTTCGTCTGATGATGTTGCCTGCGCCTCCCGTGGCGGCAATGCAAAGTGCACAACTGGGATGCGGAGCTTAGTTTGCTTGCGGGGGGGCGTGGCGGAGGTGGTGTTGGCCCTTTTGCCGACGCTGGCCC